GATACACCCTGCAGCACGGCGATCGCAAAGATGCTCTCCGATAGCCACGCAATGCTCTCTGATCCCAACTTCGGCTTCAGCGACGAGATGGACATTGATTTTAGTGACCTACCCCCGATGGAGGCCACTCAGAACTTGGTGAAGGATGTCAGCAACTGGCTTAGCACAGACGGGGCAATGCCGACGTCACCGGTTAAGAACGCCCACTTCTTCGAATACGACGGATCAGCAGATGTGCTCGAGCAGTGGAACCTCATGCACGGAGCTGAACTCAAAAGCAAGAAATAATTGAACTGCAGTTTTGGCTTTGATTGATTATGATGGTTTACGAACATGTATTTCGGGCGTGTGGGCAACAGCATCGACAACGTTATGTATTATGTCGAGGCGAGGCGTTATGTGGAATGAATAGGCTTAAATAACGGGAAATGCAGAGGATTTTCTACGCTGAAAGATTCTGGCCGGGGTCAGTCTGATCAACCTGCCAGAGCTTTCAAGCTGTGACGAAGTAGCGTATTGATTGGACATTTTAGGAACAGCGTTAGTTTTAATAGCATAGCAACAGCTTTGGATGAAATTCAAAGAATATTACAATACATTATAATTTCTCAAATTTGACTGGCCCTCCTTTCTATTGAGATGATTCGCAAATTGAAGCTAGCCACGAGTATGATGCATGTCAGAATTAAAAAGTCAAGAAACTCAGGAAACATTCATATCTAGGTAGTCTCGTCTAACTGCCGGTTGGACGTCGTCTTGAATTGGGTGGATAAGTGTGGGGCAGCACTTTACACGTTGCGGAACGCGTCTCACGGGCTCAAGCGCGTTTCTCCCCACCACTATTCTGATATTCTGCCACTTTGACCACTGTAGAACAACATCAAGTCGCCAAAGATATCAGAATCAATTGAAGCACGAAAACCAAAACTGCGGAATATTCGTCTTCACCATGGCGGAAGCCGAGCTTCAGAGTCGCTTCTCACCAAACAAGCCGCTCGAGCCCGATGTCTTGACCGAGCTGCAGTCCATTATGCGGCTGCACAATCTCACGGCCGAGGATCTGTTCTACAAATGGGAATCCTACTGCATCAAAATGGACATCGATAGCCAGGCCATCTCATTGGCGGTGATTCGGAATCTGAAGCAGACGATCCTGGACTCGCTCGAGAAAACTAACAACCAGCGCGGCCAGGCCAAGGTCCATGCCACACCAAGACCAGCAGCCAGGGGCGGAGGAGGCGGCGGAGGAGGCAGCATGCTTGACATCCTGGAGGGCTATGGCCCAAGCACTCCTGCCACTGGTGGGAAGCTGGTCCATCGCGGAGGCAGTGGGTTAAAACGAAAGCTGGATACGCCCATGGCTACTGTGGGAAGCTCGCCAGTCACCAGTGGTATGGGCGATCAGCTGAAGGCCTTAAACGTCAATGGGACATCGTGAGTACTCGGTTCTTTCAGCTCCATAACTTGATACTGGAAACTAACGGTCTTCAGTTCTGTTCCTTTCAACGAGCGAAAGAATGCTGGCGAAGTGGTCGAGACGCTAAACGATCATTTACCAGTCGCCGAGCCACCGATTGCGCCGTACTCCGAGCCAAGAATCAAACTGACGGCTGCCTCCGACCAGAAGAAGATGGCTTACAAGCCATTGGCAATGAAACTGTCCGAGGCGAGCGAAATTCTCGATGACCGAATCGATGAGTTTACCAACCTTATCCAGGACTACCATAAGCTGGATGATTCTGCCTTTGGGAGTGCGGCTACGCAGAGCACCACGGAGGTGGTGGCTGTTGGCCGCATAGCGTCAGATGCAATGGAAGGCAAACTGAATGCCGCCTCTCTCGTTCTCGAGACACCCAGGCGCTTGGGGATGGGCCTGCGAGTTCCCTTGAACATGAGCAGGCAAAAGAACTGGAGTTTCTTCCCCGGCCAGATCGTGGCACTTCGGGGAATCAACACCTCGGGGCATGATTTCATTGTAAATGAAATTCTCTCCATCCCTCTTCTCAACAATGCCGCTTCTTCTCCCTCAAATCTGGAGGCGCATATCCAGAGGCTCCACGGTGGTGCCGATGCCATGGATTCAGATTCAGACCCTTCCCCTCTAAACATCATCTTTGCGGCCGGCCCGTACACAGCAGATGACAATCTTGATTTCGAGCCGCTGCATGCTTTGTGTACTCAGGCCGCAGATACCTACGCCGATGTGTTGGTTCTGAACGGTCCTTTTATTGATGTCGATCACCCTCTGATAGCCACCGGGGACTTCGATCTACCGGAAGAGGCACAATTTGACCCCGACACTGCCACCATGACTACAGTCTTCAAGTATCTCTTCTCCGTCGCCCTCAACCGCCTCTGCTCGATAAACCCCCATCTTACCGTCGTTCTCGTGCCTTCTGTCCGAGACATAATCGATAAGCACGTCTCCTGGCCTCAGGATGCCTTCCCCCGCAAAGAACTCGGTCTACCGAAGGCCGTGAGGATTGTTTCCAACCCCATGTCGCTCTCCATCAACGAAATGCTCCTGGGTATCTCTAGTCAAGACGCCCTGTTTGAGCTGCGTTCCGAAGAAGTCAGCAAGTTTGCCAGTGGGAACATGCTGGAGAGGTTATGTCGTTACCTGATTGAGCAGAGACACTTCTTTCCTCTGTTCCCTCCCATGGATCGGAAAAGCCTGCCGAAGACAGGAACAGAGGAGGGTATTGCTACCGGTGCTGTGATGGATGTGAGCTATCTCAAGCTGGGCGAGATCATCAATGTGCGTCCGGATGTGATGGTCACGCCGAGTTCGTTACCTCCGTTTGCAAAGGTATGTTTTTCGGGTATCTATAAGCTATTGATGTTTTTGAAGAGGTTGCTAACAATACACAACAGGTGGTGGAAAGTGTGCTCGTCATCAATCCCGGCCCTCTATCGAAGCGTCGCGGTGCAGGCACCTACGCTCGTATGACATTGTATCCGCCTACTATTAAAGATGCTGGTGTAGATCAAATGCTGGATCACAGAATATATGAGAGAGCGCGGGTAGAAATCGTTAGGGTATAATGTTTACGATATAATAGAATAAAAAAGGAGGCACTTGGCTCATATTAGTTATATTTACAACAAAGGAGTCCCCTTTTTTCACCTGCTGTCGACTCTGCGTCTCTTATCGCTGTCGTATCTGTCCCCCCCGCGAGAAGTGCTTCGTTTCCGGCGAGTTCTATGATCCTCGCGATCACGATCCCGGTCACGATCTCTCCGGGGTGACCTTGAGCGTGATCTGGCACGCCGCCTATCATCATCTCGTGAACGGTCTCTTGAGTGGTAGCTGTGTCGGTCCCGCCTGTCATCCCGCCTGTCATCACGTCTCTCTTTACGATCACCCAGTGGGATGGCATTCGCGCCTTTCGCACCTCTGTCGTCGTCAGGTCTGAACCGGTCGTCATCTGGCTGGAACCGGTCATCGCCACCAAATCTGCCCTCTCCCCCTCTCCGTCTCCCATCATCGAACTGGCCCCAGCGACCAGTATCCTCGGTCCGCATATCCTTGTATCTTGTGGCGCCCTTCTTTCCTAGCTTGGTCATGTCTCTCCGTTGCAAGAATTCCGGTAGAGCCTCACGGTTCCGAACATCATCCTGGATACGGCTTCCCATGATATCACGCTGAAGCAGACCAGCCGCCTCAGACTCCTCCTGGAAGAATGCGCCCTTGTGGAAGTACCGCTGCATGTACGACATCTTGCCCTTGCCCTCCTTCTCCTCCTTCTGCCTCGCAATGTGCGCCTCGTCTTCTGCCTGTCGCTCCTCCTCGGTGAGGTTCTTGCGGCGCTCGACCTCGGCCAGCTCGGCCTCGCGCTCCTCAATAGCGGTGCGCGCCCGCTTCAGTCGCTTCAGCTCGCGGACGCGCCAGGCGGCCTCCTCCGCCTCGGGGTCCAAGCCGTCCGTCGTGTCGACGTCCGACTCCTCGTTGTTCTCGTCGTCCCAGTGCTTCTTCCCCGCCGCGCGCGCCTCGAGGTCCCTCTTTATCTGGTCCTCGACGAGCTGGTCTGCCGCCTTCCTGCGCGCCTCCTCCTCCGCCAGGCGCGCCGCCTCCTCCTTCTCCTGCTCGTTGGCCTTGCCTCGCTGGTTCTTGGGGATGAACTTGGGTCGCATCATCAGGCGGCGGGGCGCCTCCTCCTCTTCGCTGCTCTCCTCCTCCTCCGAAGAGCCGCTCTCCTCCTCATCGTCATCGTCCTCCCCTTCAGATGATTCACCCTCCTCCTCTGTGACGAAGCCTTCCTCCGCCGCCAGCCGCTCTGCTCTCTCCGCCGCGATCCGTTTCTGCTCGTTCACCTCGGCCTCCTTCTTGCGCGCGTTGAGGTCCACCTTTCCCAGGTTGCTGACGATCCTGCCGGCGCTGGTGGCTTTCGGCGGCGGAGGGACGGCGGCCTGTTGCTGCTGCTCCTCCTCTCCGGACCCTTCGTTGTCCGAGTCTGAGGAGGACGAGTCGTCGCCGGCTGGCTTGCCGGGCCTGTGTCGCGCCGGCCTGACGGGGTTCGCCGTCATGCGTTTGGGAGGCATTCTCGCGATTTGAGGGGGAGTGCGCTGGCTGAATTGAGCTTCGAAGCTTGATCGTCTTTGGTGTTGCCTCGAGCTTGTTTTCTTGAATTTGGCTGGGGTCTGATTGCGATAAGATCTTATTATTATCGATAATGACTCGTGGATCTTGGAACTACCCTACAGACATGCTGGCTTCTAGCTTCTCTACGGTTTGTTTCTAACTTTGTGCTTTGGTTTGGTTCGTGTTGCTTTATGGTGATTTATTGGCTTCAGTTGAGTGGTTAATTATCCTCCCAATGGGTTAGTGATCGTTGTGTTGTGCCTGTGAGGCGAGGTCATGATGTAAAATTATGAACGCTGATATCCCCACCATGAACACACCAACTCAACAGGTCAACTTCAAACAAACGAGCTTCACTTCGGGCAGCCACTAAAATAAATCACTCACGAAAACACACCCCCTATATATAACAGAAGCTATGTCACATCGCACCGCAATTGTCACGGGCGCTACAGGCCTCCTTGGCCGGCAAGTGAAGAAGGCCTTTGAGACCAGAGGCTGGACGGCCAAGGGCACTGGCTACTCCCGTGCCGATGGAGTTGACATCCTGAAAGTTGAACTGGGGAGCGAGGACGAAGTACGCAAGATGCTTGATGAAGTGAAGTACGCGGGCTTCTTCCCGGCTTGAAAATGCCATGACTGACATTCAAAATCGCAATATAAGACCTCAGGTTATTGTCCATTGTGAGTCTACACCTTTATGCTCACTAGTCTCTTTGGGGGTTATGAATATTGATATGGGTGAGAATAGGCGCCGCCCAGAGGTTCCCAGACAAGGTTGATAAGGATCCAGAAGGTGCAAAGGCCTTGAACGTAGAGGCAAGCAGATCACTGGCTCGCCTGACCGCTGCACGGGACATCCTGCTCATTTACATCTCTACTGACTACGTTTTCCCTGGACCTCCGGGAGATGCGCCCTACGAGGCTGATGCAGAACCGAAACCTACGAACCTGTACGGGCAGACCAAGTTCGACGGTGAGAGAGCCGTCCTTGATGAATATGCAAAGGCAGGCAAGACGGGATTCGGCACGACTCTCCGGGTGCCTGTTCTCTACGGTGTGGCAGATAAGCCATCCGACAGCGCCGTCAATGTTCTATTGGACATTGTCCAGAAAGCAGACGCGGAGAAGAGCAAGGTGAAGATGGACCACTGGGCCATCCGATACCCCACAAATACAGAGGACATTGGGCGCGTCTGTCATGGTATGTAAATAACCACTCTCTGGAATTCCTCAGCGGGCGGCCACCGGGCGGTATCTGGAGACATCATTTCCGCTGACCATTTTATTTTCTGACCCATGTAGATGTGGCAGAGAAATACCTCGGCGCGGCGGACAGGAGTACGCTGCCGACTATCCTCCAGTTCTCCAGCGAGGACAAGATGACCAAGTATGAGATCTGCCAGAAGCTGGGCGAGATCCTGAACATATCGACTGAGGGGATAGAGCCGAACACACAGGGGAACGATCCGCAGGCTTCTGTCCAGCGGCCGTATGATTGCCACCTCAGCACCAAGGTGTTAAGAGATTTGGGAATAGATGTATCAACCATCGATTTCGCGGACTGGTGGCGCCACTATATTCACACGACGAAGTAGAGATGTGCAGATGGAGACAATCTCGGGCTTAGCTTAGCAAAGCTGCAGAAAGAACAGAGTCCACGAGTTCGCAGCTGGGCACGTGGCTTAGGGAAGCTTAATCAACTAGATCATTGGCGAGTTGTGTTGCGTCTCGTTTCTCTCACGTTCATTTCTTCAAAAAGCATCAAGTGTAGGGTTGATGGATGGCACGTGTGAGACGGTTCTACATATCAAGGGGGTAGGGGGGTTTATGATTTTATCTCATAATATCTCCCGCCCTGTGATATCTTATCACCGTAATAATTCGAGGGCACGTTTCTCGTGGTGGTAAGAGAAGCAGGAGGCATAAACAGTTCTGGAATGAGGCTGCGCGGGCTGAAATTGAGCATTTTTCAATATAAACCCGCTCCATTAGGCAATTGCCCTGTACGTCGAGGGATTCAAGAATGGCAATATGTCTCGGAAACACGCGAGGAGAGGTATTTGGCTCCATGCCTCCCTCACCGGTGGCCTCGCCGCGTTTCTCAACGCCCTGGAAGGGAGTATGGCTTTATGTTGGACCTGGCACGCCCTCTGGGGCAGGGGAGACTTTTCCCTATTGTTCACAACTTCTGCGGCTCCTGAATACGTTCATTGTTGCGTATGGGTTATTTTCATTTTGGTTGACTCAGTGACTGCTCCTAGAGGTTCAGTCGTCCATTCTTTTCAGCATTATCATTGATTGTCAGTTCTATTCAGCGTTGAGTTACGTTTTGCCGACTATACCTGAGTGGACTTGGTGTAATTGGGCTGGGGAAGCAGCAGGCAGGGGGAAAGGGAAAAGAGAAGACAGAAAGAGCAAGGCCAGCCAAGGAAAACAAGGAATGCCTTGAGTGTGAGAAAGGAGAGCGAAGAGAAGAGAGCAGCAACACCTGCTTGTCTTCTGATACCACTTATCAATCAGCCAACGGCCGGCCGCCTGCTGAGAATACAGGGGCTGCGATCCAATGGAAGGGCCCTTGGACACGGCCATAGCGCCTGTGCCAGTTCCGCCCGAGCGAATGGCGCCTCCGCCTCCGCCGCCGAGGGCTTCTCGGTATCGGAGGCTGCGAGGGAGCAGCGTGTCGTCGCCGCCGAGCAAGACGTTTGATGTCTACTGCGACGGGCCCCGGGCCGAGGACGAGGAGGCATACGGGAAGCTCAAGCGGCGGTCCAAGAGCTCGTCGGCGCTGCGGTCCAAGAACGTCGTCTCGTGCCTGGGAGCTGGCGCACTGGGCCCCAAACCTGGACCTGGTGGCACCACCTTGGGCGCCGAGAACAGCCTGCATCAGCTCGTGGGTGCAGCAAAGCCAGATGCAGACTCTGTGCCGTTTAATTTGCAACTGCCAGTGCCACACCCCGCCGTCGCGCATTTAGTTCCTCTGCCGCTCAATCCCAAGCCCGCCAAAGCTCGCACGTCCACCGCCGCGACAAAGCCCCCGGCGCCGCCCAAGATCGAGGTGAGTTTGTGCGACGAGCAGGAGGACGACAGCGCCAGCACCAGCACCAGCACCAGCACCGGCACCGGCAACAGCCTCAGCAGCAGCACGGGCTCGAGCGCTACTGACGCCACCCCACCGAGTCCAATTGAATCATCCGCCCCCCCATCCCCGAGCCTAACCTCGAGTCCTGCCCCCGAGGCGGTGACTGCGACTGCGACCCAGGACCAACCCCTGGACTACGAGCGCCTGGCCGAGGAGGTTGCGCGGCTCGAAGCCGAGACTGATCGCATTCTCGCTGAGCAGAAAAAACGGGATCTGGTCCGCCTCCACGCACAGCTCGACGCAACGACACCACCCAAGCCGCGATTGTTCCTCGATAAGCTTTCGTTCCTGACCAGGAGTACCCCGTCAGACGCCGACAGCCAGCCAGGAACCCCCACCAAGAGTCCCAAGAGCCCGCTGTCGCCCAAGTCTTTCCGCCTGCCCTGGAGTCCCTCGTCGATCAGTTTCCTAGGATCGCCAGGCGCAGACAAGATGGCGTTTATTGAACAGGGCGGCGGGGGCGTCGTTCCTGGCATAGACGCCCCAACTTCAGCTAGTAACGGTGGAGAACGCGTAAGTGCTTGATAATCCAATTCCGCGCTCGCTCACTCATCGCGAGTGTTGCGGGCGCCGGGAGAGTCTTGAAATGAATGATTGCGGGCTAACTCTAATTGCCTATTGAACAGCGAGTGACGGTAAGATGCCTGTCATCCACAATCAACCTGCCTGTGACGCCTGACACCACGCCCGTTGACATCGCCTATTCGACGGCCAATTTCATCACCCACACAATCAACCCTGCCAACACCATTGTGGTTGAGTGCTATGATGTTCTCGGACTGGAGCGCCGTGTGCGCCGCTACGAGCGCATTCGCGATGTCATGAATTCGTGGGACCGCGACCAGCTCAACTCCCTCATGGTGCTGTGCGAGGACGATCTGGAGGAACACCGTGATCTCGATGCCACCGCGGTGTCGCGCACAGAGGAGGCGCCCACGGGCTTCTGCTATCAACTCTACCACTGCTCCAAGCCTGGAAAATGGAACAAGCGGTGGATCACCTTGATGGACAATGGCCAGATCTTCGCCGCCAAGCGCCCTGATTCCAAGCCGACAGACAAGGATAGCATGATGCTGTGCCACCTGTCGGATTTCGATATCTATACACCAAGAGAGAGCCAGATGAAGCGCCACATCAGACCCCCCAAGAAATATTGCTACGGCGTTAAAAGTCAGCAGAAGGCAAACTTCTTCGCCAACCAGGACAACTTCCTACACTATTTTTGCACAGAGGACCGTGATCTGGCAAATCGGTTATACGAGCTGATCCATGGCTGGAGGAGTTGGTATCTCGCCCACAAGCAGATCGGCATCTTCAAGCCTAAAGAAGAAGAACCGCCCTTGCGGCCCAGGACGAAGACAAATGAGAGTCTGAAGAAATCAACGAGCATTGCTCGACGAAATACTGAGCGTAAACCCCGTTTGTCTCTCGAGAAGACTCCGTACACAATTGGCGAGTTTGCTCCCCTGCTTGACATGAGTGACTTCGACAAGCCGCTTGAAGAATTCGGCAAGAATATCCCACCACCGCAGCCCGCGGCGGCCCCCGCGCCACCTGCAAAGAAATCCAAGGACGTACCGCGACCGCCTGTGAGCCTGATAAAGCAAAAGTCAGCCGGTCCAGGAGGGGATCCCGACCAGTTCCTCGCGGGCGGGCTTCTCGGCCACGCATACGATCAGCGCAAGCTGCAGGAACAGGCTGCTCTGGCAAGCAAGGCGGATGACGGTCCCTTTACCGGAGGCTCCTCACTGCTGAACAACGTTCCCGCGCCGACAACCACAGCAAACGAGCCCGAAGCGAGCCCATGGCTGCCTTCCGCCTTGGAGCACACGGCTCGCGCGAGGACAACGCAGCAGCCCCAGCCCAGAATGCCAAGGCGACCTGCGACTGCTGATGCCTCCCGCCATCACCACCAACAACACCACCAACATCACCAACACCATCATCAACAGCAACAACCTTTGGTGAATCTGAAGGACGACTTCCCCATCCCCCCTCTCCCTCAAGGTGGGAACCGCCTTCACAGATCGGGCACCGGGCGGGCTGTGAAGCCGCCCAATGGCGCACCTCTGGTCGACTACGCGGGCGGCATCTCCAACAACTCGGCCCCCATGCCTTCAAGGAACATCACCAGGATGAGCAGTTCCGCAACCGGCGGCCGCCCTCGCAGCCGATCCTCCGGCAACCCCCGCCAGAATGGCCAGACTCTGATCCAGTTCGACCGCCCGCCGGTCCCCGCGCTGCCAGATCGATCGAGCAGACGTCCCGGCGACAGAGTGGTCTCCAACCCGTCCCGGGGCCGTGACCCCCGCACGCAGGAGCCGCTCATCAACAGGATTAAATAATCCGTTTGCTTTCTAATGTCATGCTAGTGTACCCCCCCCGCCGCGTTATAAAACCGATGATAGTGTGCGAAATATGTTGTGGATACCTCTTCTAGGAGAATGGAGTCAGGTGCACGTGGGACCGGGTCAGGAAGGAAATAAAACAGAAGAATCTTACGGAATGAATACTTAAACAGGAGTGATTGGAAATAGCTATGGCTGATTTCATCTGGAGCTTGATTCTTTCAATATGTACTTTATTAACTTTGGGGTTGTGCTTAGTATCTATATATCGGTTTTCAATTCCTACGTCTCAGAAAGCAGGCTGTTCCCTTTTTTCTATTAAGATCTACTTGCATTGCGTAAATTCGTTGCCTCGTGCCACACTAAGCTACTCGGTCTCTGTTTTTGTTTTACTTGCTTCGCTTGTAGATCTTGTCGAAGAAGGCGGTGAAGACGGTCTTCTTGAGGCCCTCGCTCTCGTCAATGTTGTCGATGAGGTTGCGGAGCTCGCCGGCGCGCTTCTCCTCGAACGCCTCGTAGCGCTCCTTGAGCTTGAGGTCGTCGTAGAGCTTCTTGATGACGGCCTCCTTGGCGTCGTCCTTTTGTCCGTAGTTGTCCTCGAGGATCTTGCGCTGCTCGGGCGTGGCGATGGCGATGGCCTGGTTGACGAGCCAGGAGCACTTGTTGTCCTTGATGTCGGTGCCGATCTTGCCGATGTGCTCGGGGAGGCCGAAGTTGTCGAGGTAGTCGTCCTGGATCTGGAAGTACTCGCCGAGGGGGATGAGGATGGCCTCGGCCTGCTTGAGGTTCTTGGGGGTGGCGAGGTTGAGCTGGTGCAGGGCCAGGGCGACGGGGAGGTAGAAGGAGTAGTAGGCGGTCTTGTAGATGACGATGAAGCTGTACTTCTCCATGGAGAAGTTGTTGAGGTCGACCTTGTCCTCGGGGGCGGTGAGGAGGTCGGTGAGCTGGCCGACCTCGGTCTGGAATGTGGTCTCCTGGAAGAGCTCGAAGAGGTCGACGTAGGCGGGGTGGGAGCGGAAGTACTTCTTCAGGAGGTAGTAGATGCTGGCCTCGAGCATGAACGCGTCGTTGATGGCGACCATGCCAACGCCCTCCTGGCGGTACCAGCAGGGCTGTCCGCGGCGTGTGATGCTGCTGTCCATGATATCGTCGGAGACGAGGAAGAAGGCCTGCAGGAGCTCAGTCATCCAGCCAAGGGTGGCGGCGTGGAAGTACTGGTCCTCGGTCAAGGGGGCTTCGAGGAGGAGGGAGACTGAGTCGGGAACAGACATGCCGCGATTGCACTTGCCGCCGAGAGGGTTGACCTCGAGACTCTACACGATGAGGGGCAGTGATTAGCTCACTGTGAACTCGAATTGGGAACTTGGAATTGAGGCGTAGAAACTCCAAGAGGTTGCCTACCTTCTTGAACCATTCCACCTGCTCTTTGGGGAGGTTATAGGACTTGACGTGGTCAAGGAGAGCCTCCTCGAGCTTGGGGTAGATGGATTCGAACTCCTTGAGGGTGGTCTTCTGCGCCATCTTGAACAGCTTGGTCGTCGAATTGGTTTGAATAAAGAAACAAGGTAATCAAGGAAGTCAGACAATGATCTCTCCACAAGAAATGCGCTCTCTCGCTTGCTGGGGAAACAAAGGAGGTGCCGTGCTAGTCGAAGATAGTTAAGCTCGCCAGGAACATATTTTGGAAAGTGCCCCTCTATTTATCAATTGCCCAAAGAATACCCCGCCGTGGACCTAATCTCGGGGGTTTTAGGACTCCCAACCGGATAAAAAACATGATACACCAGGCCAATCAATTGATAGGTAGGTATTCCAGCATGTAAAACATTTTTATTATTACTGTAGTGCTGTTCCCAGTCTGGATAATGCACCCGGGAGTTGCACATCAGGCTCAACAGATCAATTGCTGCCTCACTTTTTTATGTCCCCCGTGCCCCTGCTTGTCCCATCCTGCACAATCGCGGGGCAGCGCTGACCGACCTATTGGAGATCCGATAAACGATAACGAATACGCTAGGTGGGGCCAGCAGCATGTTGTGCTGCTTGTTGCGAGACATGTAGAAGGCACAGTGTGGAGAACTGTGCGACAAGCCACGCACTGATTCTACGCAGGGATGATAACACAGGACAGTGTGGCTGGAATGGGCACAGTATCACATCAACGCGACAGCTGTGGCTAGGTATTACACATCGTCACTGGGCGCGTTGAAGGTATCACAGACCTGTTTGAACGAGCAACGAAGAAAATGGCTGCCTTATGATTTTATGATTTGAAGATTTACTTTGTCCCCGGGGAGTGCACGGCGTGGAAAGTCGTGACTCTGATATATAGGACTTTGTTTCTTTCCTCAACGAAACCATGTCCTTGAGCGCAAACGAAATAGCACAGCTCCGGGCTGCCCTGCAGGACGCAGTGGTGAAGTGCTCCGAGAGATGCCTGTATCAGTCCTCAAAATGGTAAGCTCCTATACATAAAGCTGATCCCATTGACTGCTTATCGGGTTGCTAATCCATAAGCCAGGGCCGCCGAACTTCTTAATGCGCTTCCCGAAACCGAAGAGCAGGATGTTACCATCGAAGGACAGTCTGCCTCCCCGATATACACCCCGAACTCAGACCCCGAGGAGGCCTTGTTAGAGGCAAAAGAGCTGAGCAAATACCTCCTTGCTAAATCATTCTTCGACTGCCGCGAATACGACCGTTGCGCCGCCGTCTTTCTCCCCGACTCGCTTCTCTCCAGCGTGCTCAACTCCAAGCTCGAGCCTACTACAGCTCAGACGAAGGGCAAGGCTAAGGCTACAACCTCGACTCGAACCTCCACACCTGTAAAACTGCCAAAGATCAGCCAGAAGAGCTTGTTTCTTGCCCTGTATGCCAAGTTTCTGTCCGGAGAGAAGAGGAGGAACGAGGACACCGAGATGGTCATGGGCCCTCAAGACGCGGGGTCAATTCTCAACAAGCAGCTGCTTGTTGTCGGGCGCTATCTGTCAACTTGGTTTGAGGAGCGGGAAACCAAGGAGGGCGATATTGCTGGCAGTCAGGGCTGGCTTGAGTATCTGTATGTCCTTTGCTCTGATGGGAAAGCGAAGTGGAACTAACGAAATCTACAGCTACGGAATGGTTCTCGCGAAAGAAAAGAACGATAAGAAGGCCCTGAGCTACTTTATCCAAAGCGTTCACAAATATACAATGAACTGGGGTTGCTGGCTAGAGATGACGTCTCTCATTTCCAGAGTCGAGGATGTATGTAACCTGTGCCAGCCAAACCGACTGTTTCTCTGCTAAACTTTTACTTCTAGCTCAACCAAATTCTGGCCGAATGCCCTCAGAATATTGTTTCATACATGTTCCACCTACACACCTCACTGGAGCTTTACCAACAGTCCTCAGGGCTAGCAAGCTCTTTGGAGCAACTTCTCTCCATATTCCCCACATCCTCCTTCCTCCTCACATGTAATGCCTTGTTGGCGTACCATTCCAAGGACTTAATGGCTGCAGAGCAGCATTTTGGCCGACTACTCTCTATACACCCGCACAGACTCGACTCCCTGGACCACTACTCTAATATTCTATACGTACTTAACCTGCGACCAAAGCTGGCATTCTTGGCACACATCTGTTCTAGTATTGACAGGTTCCGTCCGGAGTCCTGCGTCGTCATTGGCAACTATTACTCACTCCTGTCCATGCACGACAAGGCGGTGCAGTACTTCCGGCGGGCGTTGACTCTCGACAGATCCTGCCTGTCTGCCTGGACCCTCATGGGCCACGAATACGTCGAGCTGAAGAACACCCACGCGGCCATCGAGTCGTACAGACGAGCCGTCGACGTGAACCGCAGCGATTACCGCGCATGGTACGGCCTCGGCCAGACGTATGAGATGATTGAAATGCACACGTATGCTCTTTGGTATTACAAGAAAGCGGCTGGTCTGCGTCCCTGGGATGGCAAGATGTGGATGGCCGTTGGTTCATGTCTCCAGAAGATGGGGCGGGAGCGGGACGGTATCAAGGCGCTGAAGAGAGCACTCCTCGTGGACGCCTATTACGAGGTTGGCAGTAGTTTTGGCAGCGGTGGTGACATGCTGGGCGGTCGTACCGCCACCGGACAGATGGATCCGGACGTCCTCCTGCAAATCGCGATAATGTACGATCAGCTCGGGGAGGAGGAGGAGTCCAAGGCCTACATGGAGCTGTGCGTGGCCCAGGAGGAAGGCGGCGAGGCGGCGCAGGGCAACCTGGCAGAGTCGGTGAGGATCCACAACGACTCCCCCGCGGGGTCGGACGACGGCACGGTCGAGGATGCCGATAATGTCGGGCACGAGGGGACCGGCGTCACCGCGGCCACCAGCAAAGCCCGCATGTGGCTGGCCAGGTTCGCGATGCGGACGGCCGACTACCACACGGCGAATCGCCTGGCCACCGAGCTGTGCCAGGACGGCGTCGAGGTGGAGGAGGCAAAGGCCCTGGTGCGCGAGGTTAGGTCGAGGCTGGAGGCGTCTGGGATGTTTGACGATCCTGCGGGCTAGCAGACCCGGAGGAAGAGGCGTGCAAACACACTGTCAGAGATGTATAGACGGAGGGTACAGTTTGATTCCTACGTTCTCCGAAGGCATGGGTGACTGGTTCCCAGGGAGTTGACTCTGAATTTTTGAGCGTGGCAATGGCAATTCGGTTTTGCTTCGAAGCCCGGACCTTTACCTTTGATGTTCATGTGCCGAATTTATTGTTTGTTTGTTATTAACTCACGCAGGCGATAATCAAGTTTCTGAAAAACAACGAAAACCATATATTATTATTATATTATTATTAGCGCGTAATTTTCCCCCCTGATGATCGGTCACCGACTGACATAGAGCTGGCTGAATCATCAGGTTCTCGTCTTCCATCCCCCAAATCGTCCCATTATTACTAGCCGACCAATTTCACAAACAATAACTCAGATATTAATTACTCGGCCGAGAGCTTTGTAGCGCCTAATAAGGCAGCTTGTAGGGCCTGTTTTCATCCGCTGGTTCGATCCCTTAGAAGAGAAGGGCAGCCACGGCGACAAAGATGGCGGCACCGAAGCCAGCGCGCTCAGTGGAGGCGGCAGCCGGGACGGGTTGCTTGGAGGGAGCCGGGGCCGGAGCAGGAGCCGGGTTAGGGGCAGGAGCAGGAGCCGGAGCCGGAGCGGGCTGCTGTTGCTGCTGCTGTTGCTGCTGCTGCTGCTGCTGCTGAGGAGCTGGCTGAGGAGCTGGCTGAGGGGCAGGCTGAGGCTGAGGAGCAGGCTTAGGAGCAGGCTGCTGCTGTTGCTGTTGCTGTTGTTGTTGCTGCTGCTGCTGCTGAGGAGCTGGCTGAGGAGCTGGCTGAGGGGCAGGCTGAGGCTGAGGAGCAGGCTGAGGAGCAGGCTGCTGTTGTTGCTGTTGCTGCTGCTGCTGCTGCTGCTGCTGCTGAGGAGCTGGTTGAGGGGCAGGCTGAGGCTGAGGAACAGGCTTAGGAGCAGGCTGCTGTTGCTGCTGTTGCTGTTGCTGCTGTTGCTGCTGTTGCTGCTGCTGCTGCTGCTGCTGTTGCTGAGGAGCAGGCTTAGGAGCAGGCTGCTGTTGCTGTTGCTGCTGTTGCTGTTGCTGCTGTTGCTGCTGCTGTTGCTGCTGCTGCTGCTGCTGCTGCTGCTGCTGCTGCTGCTGCTGCTGAGGAGGAGCAGCGGAGGTAGAAACCACGGGAGGAACAGGAGGAGCAGAAGAAGGGGGAGGAGCAGCGGAAGAAGGAGGAGTAGTGCTCTTGGGAGGAGGCACAACCGAAGAGGGAGGAGTAGTGCTCTTGGGAGGAGGCACAACCGAAGAGGGAGGAGTAGTGGTCTTGGGAGGGGGAACAACCGTGGAGGGTGGAGGCGGCGCCTTGCTTGTAACAGGAGGCGGCGGGGGCTTGGTTGTTGGCGGGATAGTGACGGTGCAAGGACAGTCTTGCCTACGTGTTAGTGACGTGATTATGCAAAGGGTTAGAGCTCAAGGTGCTTGGGTGCTTGGTGTACGTACTGGTGATGGTCAAAGTAGTTGGCTTGAGGGCCTCATAGGTGACACCTTTGTGAATCACCTTGGTGGGTTCCTAATGAATTTGTTAGACCTTGTTTAGATCCGAGAACTTGGTTGTTCACAGAAGCGAGGTACTTACAGGGCAATACAACTCCCAGAAGTCATAGTAAGTAGTGGTCTTATACTTCTCGTGGTAAGGCTTGGGATGAGGCGGCTTAGGGTGAGGAGGCTTGGGGTAATCAGTGCCCCATGGCTTGGGCGGCTTGGGATGATGAGGCTTGGGATAGGGAGGTTCAGGGTGGTGAGTATAGGTGGGGTGGTGAGTATAGGTAGGATGGTGAGAATAGGTAGAGGTTTCAGTAGAAGTCCAAGTAGAGGTGGTAGACCCCCAAGTGGAAGTCGTAGAAGGAGGACCCCAAGTAGGAGCGACAGAGTTCCACCAGTCTCCTCCGGGACCATCTCCGGGAGGGCGTCCAGGACCGCCACCAGGACCACCACCAGGGCCACCTCCGGGAGCACCAGGACCGCCGCCAGGGGGACCACCAGGGCCACCACCGGGAGGACCACCAGGACCGCCACCGGGAGGACCGCCAGGACCGCCACCGGGAGGACCGCCAGGACCGCCACCAGGAGGACCGCCAGGGCCACCACCGGGAGGACCACCAGGACCGCCACCGGGAGGACCACCGGGGCCACCACCAGGAGGACCACCGGGGCCACCGCCAGGAGGACCACCAGGACCACCAGGGACGACCTGGGGCGCGGCCATGGCCGCGGAGACAAGAAGCGCCACTGGCGCGATGTACTCGGTGAATCGCATCTTGAGAGCGAAGGTAGCGAGTGAAGGGGTTTGAAGCTGGCTAGCGAGAGACGATGAAGTCGGCGGGACGGAGCGAGGCTCAGTTGTCGTCAAAGTCCAGTGTGACTCTAAACTATTTGGTGAAGAGGTGAGGAGTAGCTCTGTCTAATTCTCGGATCAAGGCGGAAATCGAGGAGATATTTGTAGGCAGCTGTCAGAAGGCATGGCTAACGAGCCAGGAAGGTTCTGCCTCCAAGATTGGGAATAGCTCAGACGAGCTCTGAGAGAGAGTAGAGACTGAGATCGACTAGCCGGTGACTTTGCTCAAGGTTCTTGTCAAGGCTGGACGCTTGAGAACACACATGAGCCATGGTGAACAGTACCTCAACTGCAAGTACATCCGCTTGGAACTGGAATCCTGGGGAGCGACCATCATGAAAATTTCACGCGCGGAGGATAGAATTGGTAAGAGCAGATCCGAAGATACGAGGAATAAACTCCACCAACTGGCCGTCCTTGGTAAGGTGAGAGGATACCATTGGGGTTGGTGATGCAATCTGAGCTGCCAACATGGGAAGGTTTGTGGTATCCGCGGAGGAAATAAGGTTGAGACACTTTATTGACCGTGATATGATTGGCAACTAACTCGAGCCGGACATGAGACCAACTGAAAGCATTTGTGAGGACCATATCCTCCACCGGGAGATCCTTTGTTAGTTTTGCATGTAAAATGATTGGCTCCGTAGCTGGACGAACAGGGAAAGGCCACCGGGAGATCGTCGATCAAGGGGATCGACATGCCTTTCTGCTAAACCGTGAGCCGTACATGGGAAACTTGGAAAGTGAGCCAAATTGGATTGACAAGCTAAGGTGGCTCTTGTCTCATCCGGCTGGTTGAAAACGGTTGACAAGCTACTGTGAAACTCGAGTGAAGCTGCTTATCGGGACCAGCTTATGCCTGAGAGCTCATTGACAGCTCAACTGGAGCTCGCACAGCTGCCGATGGCCAAGGGATAAATTTTACGCCAATTGGGACTAAAATGGAGTATTGATGTGACAAGATTGTTGGAGGCAAGGAGTATGCCGGGTTTGGAAATGGCCTCCTCAACAAGCACTGGAATGCAGGTTGTGGACCACCAGGTATGGGAATTGCCTATATCCATCTTTGGCAATAACCTCTTGGTGATAAAACTCTTTAAACTCAGTCCAGAAAAGCGTTATTTTTCGCAGACTCATCCTTATTCTGGCGGATGCCCCAACGATGTCAACAGTTGGAAACCAAATGGCGCGAAGAGCAGTTGATGTCATTGGCTTTCCGTAACCATGGGTTTGAAAATAGCCATTCACGGTATTGCTGTATGGAGCTAAATCGGATATGGCGTTTGGATTCTGAAAGATGTACGGATTGGTGTTGGCGAGTATCAGAGTGAGTTGCTGTCTCACCAACTTTGCCGATCCACCTATAAGCTTAAGCTTCACATCTTTGAGTTGAGCTTCGGTGGGCACGCGGCGATTTTCCAAGAATAGATCTGCCTGGGGCGAGAAGATCGCACCAGTTGAGGCAGAAGCCTTTGCTATTCTAGCTGGCATCATTCATTGACAACCGTGTGCATCCAGTTGCTCGAAGTGATCCACAATTGGTTTACTCAACCGTAACCATGTGTTATGGTGTGTAATGGAAGATTGTCATTCAACGCATTCCCCGAGTATATTCTTCAATTAGCAAGAGCTGGTGAATATGATTATCATCATGTATTGTGACATCTCCTACGTTGGAGAGCGTGATTCATCCTGAGCGGTACCCGAATTTCCCTTCTCTCGCTTTGTAGGACAGGCTCTGTGCCATGAGGACGATGGAGAGTCCTCTTCCGATGGGCTGGCACTAAACGGAATCGATGGAGGGATGGCACAACAAAGTGCTGCAATGGCGGAAGCTGTCTCGAGGAATGCATGTGGGTGGGGTTCGGCTCATTCTCACCAACAGGATGGCGGAGAGAAGAGGGCGAGAGGAGCCGAGCAAGAATGAATGTGGTTGTTGGTTTGGCAACACCAAACTCTAAAAAATTCTCCTGCAGGTGCCATCACCGTCACACTCTCGGAAGCAGGTACGACTGGCAGGTGCCACCCACCCACCCACCACTGGCCAAGGGCTGTCTCGGACCTGCATTTCGCCCACCGCGCTCCGTCTTTCCGTCCATCCCTCCAGAAGAGAAAAAGAATCTTTCCCGTTCCACCCTCCAAGAGCATTAGAAGAAAAAAAAACTACTCCTGGCTAGTCGCATCCTGTCAGGCAGCAACCATCTCGTCATACGCCCACAAGTTACAACAGCACACTGGATGTCCGCATCCGGACCAATGCAACCACTTTAGCGGCAGTGGAGCTCATCCTTCTCTCGATGCCTGGTGCCGGAACTGGTAGAGTCTTGCCGGCCTGTCTGAGTCGGGATCTGCCGCTAGAATGTGCGACATTTTCTGGAACTTGTGCCAACCTCAATTCTGGTGCCGCCGGCACCACCATCACATGAATCGGCAGCCTCTTCTTTCTGTCAGCTCTCAAACCAACCAAAGCTTGCCCGCCTCTTGCCCAGCTGGTCGCGAATCTAGCCTCGGTCGGATTGCTTCTTCCGCGGACATGTATCCGACAGCCCTTCGCTGTCCCTCGCTGCTAGCTGTCATTGCCCAACGCAATAGTCACCAGCCATCGATCATCTGGGCGGCGGTGAGGTGTGGCGTGGCATGACTCCGAAGGTGCTAGCAACGACCGACGTATCTATCCTGATTGGATTTTTTAGCAGCGATACCGGTCAAAGGTACTTGGGTCAACGACACCAACAAATGGGCAGCTTCTCATGTGCTTCCAGCTGAGTTGGTCGGCTGGCCAATGAGCCATTACAGAGCGTGCCAGAAGGTTTGACAACGCATCAACAACTTCCCCGCAGCGTGGTGTACAGTATTACACCGTCGGGACTCTCGGAACAGACCCCATGGCAAGGTTTTCTTTCTCGCTGTGGTCCATTTTCATCCACTCAGCTGCTCAACCGCCATTGTGATGAGAAAAGATGCATATGCAGTGAGCCCAGTGCGGGATCGCATTGGTGGCGCTGATGGAAGAGTTTTTCAGAGCTGGTTCCACCCACCAGTGCATACATACAGTGTGTGCATCTCATCCGAACTGGATGAGTCCGCAAGTTTCTGGATTCTCAGCCATCACTGCAGGCGAGCGGGACCTGGATACGATTCTTTGCGACCTTTACTCAAGAGGGAGCACGAATAACTTGGTAGCAAGCTGACCGGAGTGATTCTCGAGGCAAAGATCGGCAGGCACCTTGGGTTTACGAGAGGCCCGGGGCAAGGGGGCCCACCTCTGGGTGTGATCATGATCGAGACTTGACAAGTTGACATGTGGAAGATGCTCGAGCCTATTCCTTCGCACAGAATTGTCATCCATTGCAGCCCTGCAAGCCTTGAGCCCCTCACATCCAACACTCAAGAATTTTAGCCAGGCCACACATCCAACCGTCGGGTGGACACGTGTGGTGGGTCATTATTGTTGTCACAATGTGTGGCGAGTAAGGAAACTTCTTTCTCCCTAGCTGCGGTGATTATGGAGGTGTTGGCGGTGGCTTGCTTGCCCTGAGCAACCATGCCACCTGTCAAATCACATCCCGTCTTTTATGCTTTCATTCACAACTCAAATTGCGTCCTCCCGCCAATGTTAAATGCCACCTTAAGGGGTGATAAGCTGGGGTAAAGGGAAATGCAAAACAATAGCCTTCATTTCCCCATTGTCAGTTCGAGGCTTACACTCCCTTTGGTCGCCATGTGTTCAGGAAGAATGCACTACCGGGGCTCAAAACGGCCAAGCTCAGGCTTGACAAGGCACTGCCCTAGCCACGTAGTTGGAAACACTGGCCAATGGGAATATGTCCATGAGCAGTGACTCCAGAAGAGCGAGGGAGGACAAGAAGTCCCTCACATGCTGAATAAGAAAGCTGCCAAGGAAGAGTTTTCGTTGGGATGCATCACCGCCGCCTCGACAAAGTACAACAACTAGCGCAGTACATGGCGGTGGTGGGAGCACACGGGTTATGCCAGCCTCTTGGTCATTGATGAAGTAAGATGGGTGGGCCAAGCAGCAAGCCACAGCGGTTTCAGAATTAGACCATGGCGGGAGAAAAAGAAAGCAAGAGGAGCTTGTTTTTGTTAGTGCGCGCATCAATGCTTTTCGGGCTGCTATTGGCACAATTGGCTAGATCTTTTTTTTACTTTCACGTGTGAAATTACCAGACATCCATCCACGTCTGCATCTTTGGCCATTCTGTCGTTCTCGTCGACTGGCCTGCCTTGGGGCACTCTGGACAGGGCAGACTTACTGAGTCAGTGCGTTGTGGTGAGGTGCTGTCCACCATGGATAGTGGACGGTGCTACGCGAATACCCACCCGACCTGTTGCCTCTAGCGCAGGTCCGGGTCTGTTTGTGCCTGGCTACGTTGTCAGGCATCACTGCTGCAGCGCTAGGCTGCTGGGGAGGGGCGGCGACAGTGACATTGCGGGTGTGGTTCCGGCGCTACAGCGTACAAGCACCAACTTGCCAGCGCTCGGGGCAATCGGTTGCCTCGCTGGCCCCGCGAGCTGGCGAATCAGAGGGCCCAGAGCCCTGCCTGCAGCCAACCAGCATCGACCCCGATCGGACCCCGAGCCCCACCCCTCCATCCCAACGATGCGCGCTGCCAGGTACCGCACGTTTGCCCCTTTGTTCCTGGCCGGTTGATGGATGTGCCTGGGCACCATGCACGAAGAGCACATTTCGAGCCCACATGCCTTGTCTGGGCTCTGAACGGTTTCTGCTCCCGCCGCTGCTAGTCATGGCGCGCCGTCAGGGACCCCGGTGCTGGTCTGGTCTGCCACGTCTGTGGTCCTCCCCAAGGGCTCGCATCATGTATAAAGATCTCGCCCATCCCCAGCCTACTCAATCTCGAGCCTTATTCTACAACACAATCATTTGTTATACTCTCATTCACAGCTCTTCCCACTCTTTAGGAAGTCTGCATTCTTTACACGGCATCGTTCCGTACCACTCTCTCAACCAAACCAATCTCCTACAAGCACATTCTTTTGCTTGTACTCTCTGAGCCCAGGTCTCGAGAATCACTACCAACTACCATCACTCTATCATCACCAGACTTTTACAGTCGCTTACAATCTTGATCACTTGGTTCAGCCAATACAACAAAACAAACACTATCAAAATGAAGTTCGCTACCACTCTCTTCGGTCTCCTTGGCTCTGCCGCCATGGCTAGCGCTGCTACCGTCACCTTCTGGACTCTTGACGACAAGGTCCGCACCGTCACCTTCACCAGCAACGAGAACCGCTGGCCCATTGCCCCCGTCACCGTCAGCAACAAGGAGAAGACCGTTGTGACCTTCCCCGACAACTACGTTGGCAACTGGTACTCCACCATCGAGGGCGAGGCCAAGGCTGCCCACCCCCTCCTTGGCGAGGTCCAGTTCGGAGGATGGGGTGGCAAGACCTACTTCGACGTCTCCGCCGTCGATGACCCGACCATGCAGGACAAGAAGAACGTCCAGAAGCTCTGGCCCGCTGGCCAGAGTGGCCCCTGGTCCGGCTGCGACGAAAGCTCCTGGGCTGGTTGCCAGACCCTCTACATCCTTTGGGATGATGTCCAGACCAAGGTTACCGAGCAGACTGATCTCATCCAGACTCTCGGTGTCGGTGCCACTCCCGTCCAGCTCGCTGCCTTCGTTTAAATCCCAACAATCGTTGTTCTTGGTGTAGCCCCCTCTCCCCGGGCTACCATGTGCCAGTGCTTCTCATTTAGCGCTGAGCGCTCAATCACGAAGGCATGATTCACCATAAAAGGAAAACAAATTCCCAGAAAGACAGGCACACCACCTGTTGAAAAATCAATAGACTATGGGACGATTGGCGCAGTATTGTTACTCTGTTTTCTTTTTCGCTTCTTGCTCTGCGACGGGGCAGTGTGGTCAACGCTGCACTGCTCCTCGTGGAAGCATCTTTTATGAAACAATTTGGGATTTGCACTTGCTTGATACCCTCGGCCATGCCACAGGCTAGTTCGCCCCCTTCTGGCGTTCGGGACCGGCTCTCGTTTTTGGATACACAACATTCGTTATACAATATGCTGCAAGAGTAACTTGCGCATAACATACATTCTCTACCACCTAGAACATCATTTATTGTTTAGTGCAAATACGACTTCGTTGTACATATTAGACTCAATTGGCCTCCGTTTACTGCTTGTATAGACATAGATGGAATAGACATAGAGATTGATTCATTCTTCACATCTTCCACTGCTCCAATGCTCGGCATAACCCCAACCAGATGCTTTTTTATGCTGGCTAACACCACCAACCTGCACGTTGTCAGGGGGTGGGCCGGGACCCTCTCGTATGGCGAGATTGGCCCGCAGGGATCAACCGCTACGCGGCCGTACCACCCGTCCGGCCTGATGCTGACGACGCACCCAGGCCGCTCCAGCGCCGTGGGCACGCCGTTCCCCCGTTCCATTGACGAGGTGTGGATGTTTATTAAAGATCCAGGATGCACAGCCTTCGAGCAAGGGGAGGACCTCATCTACCGTCCGACTATGTGGTATTTTACTGGGGAACGAAATCTTAGAGACCACGCCACTCATCTCTCTTCGCGGCGGGAGGGGGTCGGTTGCATGGGATCATAACAAAGCAGAGGGTACATAGTATAGAAAGGCGTATACGTAGGATACAGTACGTATTCTGCGATACTTTTGACCTGCAGGCTGACCTGACTCTCCACATGGATGGCTGGGGACGTGTTGATTGTTCAGAACCGTGATTTCCTCCTTGCGTTCAATCGTCCTAGCGCAGCACGCGGACAAAGGCAAACCTGGACTGTATTGATCGGCCGGTCTCTCTGATCCGTTGTGTAAATCATTGTGTAAATCGATCGATGGACAATCATTGAAATTCGAGATCTAAGAATAAACAGAGCCAAAAGGCTTGGCTGCAGCTACCCAGTGGGAGTGCTACTGTGCGATGTTCCGATCGTGCCCTGCTGCAGGAGGCCTGGCGACGGGGCATTATCCACCTGCTGGCAGCATCGCGTAATGCGTGAGAACGACGCTGTGAGGATGAGCCGTGGGATTGTCGGAGTAATATTGCCTGCCCGTTGAAGGTTGCATCTGCTATGCGTGGTTCTTTTGAAATTGATTGACACATACGATGTAGCAACTGTTACCTACCTTACCTACCGACCGCAACAGCGAAGAAGTACTCCCTCGGTTGCATGCACGCTAACATTCTGGGAAAGGGGTCTTGGGAGACCTCTCATCATCGTTATGCCAACCCATGATACAGCTCGACCTGTCGTCAAAACATGCCCCCATCCCTCAAACTACATCCCGGCCTTCGCCACGGTCTCGCCGTTTTCATTCAACACATCGAGAAAGAAACGAAGCAGATCGCAATCGAAGGGTCCCTGGTCGTGCCTCTTCCGAGATGCCTATTCAGGCCGACCCACGATTCCTTCGAGCCAAAGCTTAAAACTTTAACCAGCCTGACGCACAAGCCGTGTCAGCTCAGCGAACGTCCTTCTCCCTGAGCAGCGGGCCCCCCATGGGCAATGCCCTGTATTCTGGAAGGCGAGCTCTGTGGCACTCCGGAGCACCCCACACGGGTTCATTCGTGTATCGACATGCTTCTAGAAGGATTACATAGTTTCAGTCGCAACTCGTGCTCCCTTCTTCCGGACATCGCGGTGGCGGAATTATTGTTTTTCTCCCTTGATTCTCCTCAGCTTCTCTTCGGTTCGGGCCTGACCTCTAGGCGCCGTGCTCTTTGGGAAGAATACCCGACGCCAGGCCAAAACCCACGTGATTGGCGGCGCTTGAACGGAGGGGAGGGGGCGAGGCGCCGAAGGGATGATGCATTTCCAAACGGTAGCGCTGAACCTTGTTGCACGCCGTCAACCGGCTGTGGCAGAGTCAAGGAAAAAGTCAGGAAAAACGTCGCAAGTATCTTTTTGGATCCGTGACTTCTGAGCCTTCTAGGCGCCTGCGAAACCCGTCCGAAAAAGACCAGCGCTAAAATTCTGTCAAAAAGACCTGGCAAAACGATAACGCCTCCCATTGATCTCCCACGCGAGAAGGGCGTCACTTGATTGTTCTTAAAGTTTCTTAGCGTTTGCTCGGGGCACTCTCGGAATCTTGTCCTGGTCTATTCATGATGAATGGGAAGTGTTTCTCCACGGGGCACGTTGCAATCTACCTAAATATAGATGGCTGAACACATATACACAAGACAGGGAGGGAATTGCACGTGGCCAAGTATCAATGAGATGGTGAATTATGGAGATGAAGCCGATGGTGTGATAGATGGCCAGCTGCGAAAACAATAGAACTAACTCCTCCCAGCGCCTGTACTGATGATAAAAGGTAAGGTAGGTTTTAACCTGAGGTTTCAGGCTGCGGCTCAGTGTCTGCTGGCTCTGCTTCTGCCGAGTCAGGCTCTCTTTCTGGCGTCCGTGGTTTCTTGGTTCTAGCGATCTCGGAGAGCGTATCGCCGGCGTCTAGGAAGCCGTCTATCTTGCTTAGTTTCGTCGTAAAAAACCGCAAATCCAGCATCAGGCTAAGTGAACAGTTAGCGACGTTTAGTTTCGACAAGTCTCAAGGATGCATGAAGCCGAAACGGTGTGACATACCTGTCGTAGCCTGGCTGTGTTAGTATGATGGACTCTCGAATGGCCTGGCCTAGATGCTCCTTGTAGTTCGAGAACACTGGCTCCATGATCATCCTGATTTCTGCCTCCGGGAGGTGTTTGGTCAAGACCCTGTGGAGGGTGCTTGTTTCCTTTACTAGTGTCTCCATGTAAGGTCGCGTGCCGCTGGGTGTTTGCGCGTCCCAATTGATGGCCCTTAGGCTCTTGGAGTGAGCAGCCGCACGTCCGCTCATGATATCCACGAGTTTCTGATGGATGTTATCCTGGTGCTCCTGCAAGAGCCGTCTGACTTTGTCAAATTCACCCATGAGATTGGTGAGAGCCGAGCCTGATCCCGCATGTCGTCGGACAAACTCGCGGATATGCGGTATGAGCGTTGAGATGAAGGACAATGCCTGTGCTGCTAGTGCCAAGTGCTTGGATGTGATGTTTTTCAGCCCAGCCGATCGAGTTGCGCCTGCACCCAGAATCAACTGAGTGCAACGAGAGTTGAACAGTTGCAGATAGGCCACTAAAGAAGAGGCGATATCGGTCGTCATGGATGGAATACCTGAAATCAGCTGCATGAAGGTGGCCGTTCCTTGGAGACAGAGCACAGCAGAGTTAGGGAGGATGAACTTTTCCGTATCTATGATTGCCGGGCGAGTCTTGTCCTTGTTTGTTCCATTCGCGTCTGGCTCTAATTCGTTCTCCATAGAGTCCAGCTCGCTATACGGGATCCAGATCTTGGTCCTCTCTGTCCAGGCCGCATTATCGTGCGTAGTTGCATCAAGAATCTGCGCCAAGAGCTCTGTATTCTTCTCGGTGAAGTCTTTTACAGCCCATTGATCTGACTCCATGCCTTGCGCAAGCTTCTGCATCTCTGCATCGCGATTCTTCTGCACGAAATCTCTGATGTGACCGTTAACCACAGTTTTGAGAGAGGTACCGCTCCGGCCTGAAATAGACTCGCACTCGTTTGCAAAGTATAGATTGAGAGTAAAGTAGCGGAGGAAGAAATCGTGGGGGAGGCTGGTGGCCTGCTCGGACCGTACTTTCAGCACCTTCACAATCTTCTCGATTGCTACGTCAATTGCCTGGCCAAGTAGATTGGCCACGTCCAGTGTCTTGTGTAGCTCCTCGTACAGCTCAGAGCTGGCCAATGCAGGGTTGGCCGGGTACCGATCGGGCCTGGGGCTGTTCATTGGAGATCTGAATGGAGGGGATCGTATACCGTCAAGCCCCATTGGATCAACCGCCGACATGGCAACCTCCATGATGATCTTAGTCTGAGTGGTTAGCCTTCTCAATGTTTCTGTAACACCGACGTAAACGGTAGTCAGAAGCGTTTCTGCATCGCCGGGATCCATGGCCCTCAAGTTTCGAGCAAGTAGAGACGACTTTTCTTGGTTGGACAACCGTTTGCCTCCACCAGCAGTTGAACTGGACATCATTGACTCGTTGTCATCGTCATTGGAGCTCGGCAGTGGACGTCGGATCAAATTCCTGACCTCTCGCAGTAATGATTCTCTGTATGTAGCTGTCGCTGCAGCGACATAGTGCGATCGCTCCAACCCCATCATGGTAGGTAGTAGCTGGGATTTTAACTCATCAGTTTGCGAGAGGTAGCTGGGGAAGACGGAGGGAGATCTGGCATGCCCTCCCTTTGCTCGGGATGCAGCATTACTCCAGCGCAGCAGAACCTCTGAGTGATTCGTTTGTTCAACATGACGGCGAACGTCACCGAGCAGAATGTTAACAAACTTTGTCTCGTAAGCCTTGCCAATACGGAATCGCAAGGCTGCTAGGTCTGCATCCACTCCTCGCAAAGCTAGCGCTCCCTGGAGGTCCCGATATTGGATCGTAGGCGCCTCTTCACCACTCTGGTCCACTTCACCTGCAATCAGGTCTTCCAGGGAGTCGATGCTATCCAGTGCCTCATCAATTTCTCCAGCATCTACCAAGGCCTCACAGTTTGCGACGCCGTCAACGATTTGTCTTAACTGCGTAACCACATCGCTGAGCTGTCGTAGATTCTCTTGGATCCTATGTTTGTGAAGAATTTCCACTCCTTGAGTCACGACTTCCTTATCAAGCGCATCTAGTTCATTGCGCAGAGTTTGTATTCTTCGAACCGACTCGGCTGCTTCGGAATGCAGCTCTTTCAGATCGCCAAGAGCATTGAAGAATGTCGTAGATGCCGTCGAGATCGAGTTGACGAGGTGCACTTCAATGGTGTCCATGTACCACGACAGCTTCTCCTGCAAAATGGCGTTGGTTGCAAGGGCTTTCCTCGGAGCCGCCACAGCCCCGTTTGTATCGCCTTGGTTTTCCCCTGGCCGGTTCGCAGTAATGACCTCTGACCTCTCGCTTACAACATCGAATGTCCGGGGGTTCTCGAGATGGAAGTCTTCGTCGAAGTAAACGTTGGGGATCGTAGATAGAGGGGCAGGACCTTGAGCACTCTTTCTGCCAAAACCGGAGCTTGACCTTCGACGCGAGGGAGGACGCGCGGGAGCGGGAGCATCTGTCGAACCTATCGATGAAAGCGAAGCACTGGACCCCTTTCGTCCCATCGGAGGCTTTGAACTCGGGCGTAGGTACCCGTCTGTACTTGCCGTTTCTACATCATCGTCTTGTTTGCTGCTTCGTCGGATGACTGATGTATCTACTTCGCTCTCCTTGACACGTCGAAGTTGCTCATATAGCGTGGTGAATTGGCTAAGGTACGGCGAGAAGTCGTCATTGTCAACGTGGGTTATGTTCGTAAGAGTGACTGGTGGGATATCTCGTGCCGTCGGTGGTTTGTGTGCGCTCGAGGCTGGAGCTGAGACATGGGGCAGGAGGCCGGTTCGGACAATGGGTGGCTGCAGTAATGTTGAGATCGCTACACTACACTTTTAGAACATGCTCAGGTGGGGTATCCGGCCAGCAGACATACCATTTTGCCCGGTCTCATGAACAGAGTTGGAGGAATTATCTCCTCCCCCAAAAGACCGGATAGAGCTCGCCGTAGATCCGCGCCGTGAGCCTGATCGTCCAGTGCGACTACGTCAACTTGTCAGCGGGGGAGTATTGATCACAATTCGGGGCCGGGCGCACCTATGGAGGGGATATTCTGAACGACTTGTCGGTGGAAGCGCTGGCAAGCTGTCGACAGACTTCCGGGCGCTCGACGAGCTGAACATTGTTGTCGACACTGGCCGCCGTCGGCGATCGTGTGGGAGTATTAAGGAAGCACCGACAACGCTGTTGTTGACGGCTGGAGCTTGGAACTATCGGCATATCATCGCAGGGCACTTATAATATCGAGCTGGAGGCTTCAGTGGCGTCTGGGTTGGTTTCGGTTTGCGAACGGCCGATGTCAAATAAAGAACCCGACTTGCGATTCGAGAATAAGCTCCTATATCAGTCGAGAGGATACTTCATCATTCCATGGCAATGTTCCAAATTAAGACCAACGATGAGCTTGTCTTAGTCAGCGGCTGCTTGGTGGGTCTTGGCGGGAGACCCCTGTAACCACTTTACGCGACGCGAAAACACGCGCTTGTTTCTCACAGTAACAGTCCGAAGTATTATCCAAATCACCCCTCATTCCGCTCCCTCGAGGTCGAAAACCAAACCCAAGCCAGCCTACACGTTTGCCAGTCGCTTCAATCCACAAGGAGGTGAGACTTGTAGCCCATCATGGATCGACAATCAGTGTACTCGACGCGCACATACAATCCCACATTCGACGACGCCACCGACTCTCGCATTCAACTGCAAAAGGAGCTTGAAGAGTTCGTCCTCGGCTTCAGATTGGACAACAACTACGTTTACAGGTGCGTTGCATATTTCTCTGGACCCTCGCCATACTCACACTAACCTGAACACAGAGACCAGCTGAAAGAGAATGCCCTTCTGAAGAAGTATTACTGCGACATCAACATCAACGACCTGATCTCCTACAACGAGGAGCTGGCGCACCGGCTCGCAACTGAGCCTGCCGACATCATCCCACTAGTATGCTACCCCCTCACGAGTGTGCCCTTTTCCGACAGAAGCCTGATATGTCATAGTTCGAAGTTGCATTGGCAAAATGCACACATAGGATCCTCTTCCCCCACGACCCCAAGGCCGAGATCCCCAGCCACCAGCTGCTGCTTCATTCGAACGCCGACGATGTCTCCATCAGAAACCTCGACTCGATGACGATTGCAAGACTAGTACGAGTGCCTGGAATTGTCATTGGCGCCTCTGTCATGTCTTCCAAAGCCACAGTACTCGAGCTCAAATGCAGATCTTGCGGATACGAGACTGGCATTCCCATTCTTGGTGGCTTCACAGGCGTGAGCCTCCCCCGCCAGTGCGGCCGAGAGCGTGGACCTGCGGATAAAGAAACGCCCAAGTGTCCGCTTGACCCCTACTTTGTCCTCCACGAGAAGTCCAGGTTTGTCGACCAGCAGATCATTAAGCTGCAGGAAGCCCCCGACCAGGTGCCGGTGGGAGAATTGCCTCGGCATGTGTTGGTGTCGGCAGACCGATACCTGACCAACCGCGTTGTTCCTGGGTCGAGATGTACTGTTATGGGCATCTTCTCCATCTACCAGAACAAGGCGTCCAAGAACTCGTCAACGAGCGGAGCTGTGGCTATCCGAACACCCTACCTCAGGGCGGTCGGCATTTCTACCAGCCTGGACAAGGGTGCCAAGGGCGACATGATCTTCACAGAAGAAGAGGAGCAAGAGTTTCTGTCAATGAGTAAGAGTAAGGATCTATACGAAAAGATGGCCAGATGCATTGCCCCTTCCATCTACGGTAACCATGATATCAAAAAAGCTATTCTTTGTCTCCTGCTCGGCGGGTCCAAGAAAATCCTTCCCGACGGCATGAAGCTCAGAGGAGACATCAACGTCCTGCTTCTGGGTGACCCCGGTACTGCCAAGTCACAGCTGCTCAAATTCGTGGAAAAGGCGGCGCCGGTTGCCATCTACACGTCAGGAAAGGGTTCCTCCGCTGCAGGATTAACCGCTTCAGTCCAGCGTGACCAGTCAACGAGAGAGTTTTACCTTGAAGGTGGTGCCATGGTTCTGGCTGATGGTGGTGTTGTTTGTATCGACGAGTTCGACAAGATGCGCGATGAAGATCGTGTTGCTATTCACGAAGCAATGGAGCAGCAGACAATTTCAATTGCCAAGGCTGGTATCACGACGATTCTCAATGCCCGAACATCCGTTCTTGCCGCTGCCAATCCCATCTTCGGACGATACGATGATATGAAAACTCCTGGAGAGAACATCGACTTCCAGACAACCATTCTGTCTCGTTTCGACATGATCTTCATCGTCAAGGACGAGCACTCCAGAGCCAAGGATGAGACTATGGCCAAGCACGTCTTGAGCTTGCACTCTGGAGGTGGTGTAGAGGAGGCGTCCGAGGCTGAAATCTCCGTTGAGAAGATGAAGCGATACATCACATACTGCAAAACGTGAGTCCTGCAGCCCTTATCATAAATCTATGATGGCATACTGACTATGATTGCAGTCGAATGGCTCCTCGCCTGGACAAGGAAGCCGCCGAGATGTTATCATCCCATTTTGTCACCATTCGCCGACAAGTTCATGCAGCTGAAATGGAAGCAAACAGCCGTTCATCGATCCCCATCACCGTGCGTCAGCTGGAGGCCATTGTCCGTATAACCGAGTCACTGGCGAAGCTGGAGTTGGAACCAATTGCCAAGGTCAGGCACGTCAATGAAGCCATCCGACTTTTCATTTGCTCCACCATGGATGCCGTCAATCAAGGCAGTAACCAGGGCAGTAGAGAGCTGAACGACGAGGCGACCAGAGTGGAAGCAGAATTGAAGAGGCGCTTGCCGATCGGCTGGAGCACCAGCCTGGCCACACTGAGGCGGGAGATGGTCGAGGGTAAAGGCTACAGCGAACAAGCGCTGAACAGGGCCTTGATGATCTTGCAACGGAGGGACACGATCATGTTCAGGAACCAGGGAGCACAGGTTTACCGAAACGGTGCTTAATATGTGACAAATTTAATGATGACAATGTTTGATGTTTACCTAGGCGCAGAGTGTTTGGGTTAGATGTGGTATGTGGTATGTTGAGTAGATCAATAATAATGAAAACAACTACAAAATCCGCCATCTCCTGCTATTATAGGCCATCTAACTACGAGCCCCAATTGCTACAACTAGTTGGTTAAATCATTTCAGTGAATTCCGGCGTAAAACGTGGGCAAAGCGTTCGTGGCATTTCAACCGCTGGGCTGCCAGAGAACGAGGCCCAGCGGATATAGCGAGAGGCAGACCTACCTTCCTACCTCAGCGGTTGCCGCTCCTCTTGCAGAAGCTGAGTTGGGCAGCTCGCCAACGCAAAAGAGCCGACCCAAAGAAGCGAGACGCTCTCCTCCTATCATACTGAGTAGTTGCGGCCCAAAGATGGATTTGAGCACATGCATCTCGAGTCCCTCATCGGCCCATTTCAACATTTTCGGCCACGCAATCCTCAAGCTTTGTGCAGGCGGTGAAGACCAGAGAGAGTGGAATATTGATCAGCAGATGCCCAATCACTCAAGCTACTCGTCAGCCGCATCCCCGTGGGGGCCGATTCGTGCAGGTAGATGCTGGGCTGCGCGTGCTCGATGCAGCGATGATGCCCATCGCTGCCGGCCGGTCAATCAACTGGCTGCTCTTGAAGGGGGGCCCGATCCGCTTGTATCGAAACCCGCCAGGTACTTGCGAGTACATGGAGGAGTGAAATGTCGAGACTCGGCTGTGCTTCTTGGCGACGACGCACGATGTGATCCGCCGGTTGAGGATGTGGTTGCATCCCCCTCAATAGCAGGTGAATCATACCGAAGATGATCAGCTCCAGACGAGATAGACCATTCAACGTCCGCAACGTCGACGACATGTAGGCTATGCTCGGTGCAGATGCTCGTTCGTGACACGTAGGAGATGGCGATTGGGAGCTTGGAGGTTGGGGGCGATTGAAGGCAAACGGGTGGATCGAATTCCGAATATGACGCCAACACGAGGATGCCCAAGGCGAACGCTCGCTGGAGGGAAGCGGTCTAGAGTTAGGTTAGGAGCATGCGACATGTCGGCGCATACCAATATGTCAATCACGGCTAGCCTTCGATGGGCCGGGCCGTAGATCAGAATGGCGAGGGAGATTGAATGACACCTCTCAACAGCCGCCCCGTCAGGGAAGATGCCGTAGCGCAAGAGATTGCCGTAGGCCTTGATCCCAGGAACCCACAAGATTGTCAAGCATCCATTCTTTCTGGATTTACCCAACCCACGGTTGGCCGGCCGACGAGGAACCAGGGCAATGACCCAAGGAGATCACGTGATCGCCATCATCTGGCTCTGTCTGTGTGTGGGCGTTCGTCCAGTCAGAATGAAGCAGATTCTCCGAGGCACTGACTCTCCTCTATATGCCTGCCATGCTGGTAAAGCAGTGATATTGGAGGAAGGATCTGTACAGACGACAATGTTTTCCTTTCTTTTTCCTCTGAGAGGAGTGATTCTAGTACTCGGGAGATTGCGCGCGACGGAGGAGGAGGTTGGGACAAGGCGTCGTTTGTCCGTGCTCGAGTCGTCGAGGTCAGTGCAAACCCGGCCAGTCTGCATCGCTTTCTGCCTTGCATGGGTAGCTGGATAGGTCGCTCGCTGAATCTGTTGAGCTCCAAAGATGTTGACTGCCGGCACCCCGGTCTGGCGGAGTTTGTAGGCCGGGGCCCTCAGCCTATCACTAGAAGGCTAGAGGCCGCTCGTTTGAGAATGGAGATGGTCGCGGCGACTGTTTTGGTGTTGACTGAGACCAGGTGATTTGTATGGATGAGAAACGCGCAAAGATGAGAATTCAGGGAGGGGGAAAAGGGGGGAAAGGAACACAGATGTTCCATGGAAGATAGGCCAGGCATGCATGCGTATGTATATATTTTAGCTAGGCCTATCAAAATTGCGGTGAACCCCGAGGATGTACCTCCGAAGTTTGTTTTCTGTTAGCACAAGTACATAATACCTCCGTTAGTGTTGTGATTAGCAGGGCAACGCATATCACACAAACAAACCCCTGGACCCAGCATGCATGCACGACAGTGAATGAATCCCTAGGTAGGTACCAGTCGTTGGGGACGATGCCCTGACTGGGCACTCTCCTGCAAATCTCAGATGCAGATGGAAGTGGAAATAGTATCCATTTACACCATACAAGACAAAGTACGTACGTAGTAGATAGTATACGGCCAAGGTGATAATGGAACGCCTCCGTGAAATCATAACCATAACCCTTACCCATGTCCCGTCTGAACACAATGGTGTCGACTTGGATTTACCCCAGGCACGTAGCGTGCACTGCCGAGAAGATACCGCACAGACACCACGTCCCTGCGGCGTCCATGTTCAGCTGTCCAAGGATTGTACTCACCCGGCTTGATCAAGACTCGCTTGTTGCTCCTCGTCCCTTTCAAGCAGTCTTCTTCCACTGCTACTTAGCTTGTACCTATCTACCCGACTGTTAGGTACCTAGGTAGGTAGGTATACAAGTCACTTTGATACCCCAGGATGGGTACATAGTGAGCCACCTTGAGGCGGGACTGGCACCTCGCAGCACCCATCGCCTCTGTGCTTACTCCTACATACCTTCCCAGAACAACATCTCAGCCTTCCATAGCAAAAGCATCGTGATCTTACAGTCTTCATGGTGTTGGTAAGTCAGTCCCTGGAACATTTATCTTGACATTAACTAACGTTCTTGATACTAGGTAGATAGTATCTCCTCTAACCCGACTTCCGTTGTCGTACGAGACCAATCAACACCACCTTCTCGGCCTTACATATAGAGCATAGCCATCGATGAAGTCTCGACTCAATTCCCACCGACGTTAACATTAACGAGAACAGCCAGGTAGGCAAGCACATAAAGTAGCAGGTGATCACTGTCCTGTCCCGGTAACCACCAGACGAGGAAGAGAAAAAAGACGAGAGCTGAACCTGCGAGAACAGAAATATTCGCCGGTTTTGGAAAAGCCTCTGTCGCTAGAACAACAATAGGTGTCCCGATTACGATACTAGCTCCCAGCATCAACGACGTTGTCAAGGTCCTGATCAACCCTTCAGTTTGCATCCGATTTCCCATCTCGGGTCCGATTTGGACTTCTTCAACGGGGAATAGCCACATCTGAGTTCGTCGACAGCTAGCGTTAGCGGTTATCAAGCACAAAGCGCGATGTTGAGCCGTATTCACGTACCAGCCACGAGGGAATCCGGTCGTTAATAACAGGAAAAGCGATAGATCTTGCCAAATCCTCAACTCTCGGCTTGCGATTCATTTTTTTCCACTCCCCATTCTGGTTAGCCCACTCATCGTCGACAACGTTCCCCGTAGCAAAACATTGCGCAAGGCGGTCATGGTCACGATGGGACAAGTGCGAAAGGCCCTCGACGACGTGCCACTTATGCGCCAGGTCGACTACATCAGATGTTAGATGGCCATCAGACATTCCATTTGCACTTGAATACTCACGTTGCGAGGCGACCTTATCATCCAATTCATTAATGAGTCTCAGCAAGGCTTCCTCATCGCCCGACTGGAAGGCGGCAGTAACCTGCCTGCGACACTCATTTGCAAGATGAGTTTTTGTTAAGCCCACCAGTGCGACATGCTCCGGATTGACTCTGATGGCCCGGTAAGCGTCATCCATGCCTTGGAGACTGGCAGCATAGAATATCTTGGGGAAGACTGCCGATGTGTTAGCTCGCCTTCTTGCTTCAATTCAAGGGCGTTCAACGTACCGGACTGTCCCCAGTCTGCTTCTGCTGCGACACCTTTTTACGGTCAGCATCCCACCCTCGCGCTCCTTTCAACACTCTTACCTGGTGCTACATTGTCAATTCGAGCTTGGCCAGGTTCCTGTGTATCCCGTCGAGCGCCCTCGCTGGGTACTACCTCTTCAGTCCCAGCCTGCCCAGCCTCTGCAGCTCCGAGGGATTGAAGTAGTATCCCCAGTGGCTCATCAGGTCCACACCCATTGTGGTCGATGGTGGGGCTTGCGATACCAGCTGATGGAGCATTGGTAGAAGGCATTTTCAGGTAGAGGAATCAATTGTAAGTTCTATGGTTTGATATTGGGCTTGGTTTATCTTGTGCCCTCAGCTGGGGCAAAGGGAGATATTAAATATCCTGCGTGCTGATCATCTCAGAAAGAAAGGTCACATCCAACTGCCTCGATCGATTACTTGCAGATACTCTTCATGCAACTCTTCACCGACTACCAAGCGCTTGCTTCTTAAGCCCGATAAGGCGGCCAACCACGAGGGTGGTCGCCTGACTCTAGTTTCCAATCCTGATACCCAGTTCAACGAAGGCGACATCGAAAGAGGCTCTTGGGATGAAGGGTGGGTGGAGAGCTGGTGCCCAAAGCGTCCAGTCTCACGACATCCAGGTATCCTCAGGTACCAAGGAGCCCGGTATACTTGTTGGCTGGCCACGAGGTGGTGGAGCAGGCTCAGAGCCAAACAGCGCTGGCCTTTGAGGGTTCTGCCTGCACGACATGCTCACGGCTAATTGCGCGCATATAATCTGCCGACTATACGCGAGCAAGGTACTATAGCCGTCGATTACGGATCCCATCGTACAAGCATATTGATCCCATTAGTCACCTGCCCAAAACACACTGGATTTTTTTGGAGATCAGATCTGGGTACCTCCTGAATAGGTTAGCAACTGCGGGAGGATGCTTGCCGATAGAAACTATAATCATGGACACAATCGAGAAATTACTAGGATAATTCACGATCTTCAGATATTCTCTTTCGACTTGGACGGCTTTGACTTGACATTCTTCGTGATCCTAACTAGCTACCAACTCGAGCCCCCCGTAGTTTTTGTCCCCATTTTTCTCTATTATGAGTTAGTGAACGATGTCATTGAGTTGCGTATTTATTCTAGTGACTCTTACATATCTCTCGCTTGCTTGACATAACCGGGTACTGGTCACAACTCGACATACCGT